TGGTGCCCTTCCGTCAATTCCTTAGCTGATTTAATGAGCCATTCGCGGTTTCACCGTTTTAAGGTATGTACTTAGACATGCATGGCTTAATCTCTGAGACAAGCATATGACTACTGGCAGGATCAACCAGTTTGTTCACAGTTATATAATATACCCTTGTGGGCGAGGGTAATCTTGCACTGGTTTTCAGGTGAACCAGATACCATCCAGACTTTCACGAGGCAACCCAAACAGTACAGCTCAATCCCGCTGTATAGGAGAACCAGACACTACCCAGGCTTAGCCCAAGCAGTACAGCTCAATCCCGCACTACAGGAGAACCAGACACTGTAAAGGCTTCAACGTTACAATCCGAACAGATCGGCCCAATCCTGTGGCGCAACCACTCAGGTACCAAACACCCTGGTGGACCATTCGCACCGTTCATATACACATTTACATCCCGTGTATAAATATCCCGATCAGTGATCGCGTAAATCAATTATGCACAGCACGAACAGGCCAAAATTGACCCATTCCGCTTACACGACAGCCAAACTCATTAATATTGGCAATGGCGATATGCCTTACAATGCCCCAATGACCTAGGCCCTTGAGAACACTGAGAAGCAACCACCAGCATGAATGAAATCGGTTAACCTGCCAACCAACTTTTCACATGGACAGCCAGCAAAACTTGCCAAAGCAATGCCGAACCATCCACAATATCAATGGCGAACCTCCAGTCTCATGTGAGACCTTCAGCTCTACATGGCCATATAGCTTATACTGTATACCACACACATATAGGGTAGTAAGCGAAACAGCCCAGCCTGAAGCATTAGGGCCTAAGAACGCTGTGTGTAGTGCGCAATTATTTTTTAGATGATACACAGTTATATGTTATAAATCAAAAGATAGATATTCGCAAGGTAAATCGATTAAAAAAAGAATGAACAAAATCGGTTGAGCCGTTCAAAAGTTATGAAGGAAAATGTGACTCGAAAAATTCCTATAGAAAGGTGCGGACGGCCAAATACCATAGTGAACCAGGTGTAGTGCGCAATTATTTTTTAGATGATACACAGTTATATGTTATAAATCAAAAGATAGATATTCGCAAGGTAAATCGATTAAAAAAAGAATGAACAAAATCGGTTGAGCCGTTCAAAAGTTATGCGGAAAAGTGTGTTCGTAAAACTCGCTATCTCGGACTTTTCTATAGGATTTTGCCGTCCGCACCTTTCTATAGGAATTTTTGGGTCACACTTTTCTTTATAACTTTTGAACGGATTAATATTTTTCAATGGGGTTTTCTTTGTAGTACTTATCTAATTAAGAGCTATTAAATGATGCATAACATGTATATTGACATCGAGACTCCAAATTTTGCTCTTTACAGTTGCTCTTACTGGCTATGTATTATAGGGAGACTACCCTTAACTCGGTGGTCTCCCTATAATGCACTAAACTAGCTAGTTTAGTCAAAAATATGAAGGGGGGATATATATATATATATCGCGCGCTTAGAAAGTTTTTAGCGTCTTAACGAGCCGAAAACGCAAAAATTTTACGCGCGGACTACACCTGGATCTGTTGCGGACTACACCTGGCTTTAGGCAGAATCTGCGGATTACACCTAGATCAGTTGCGGACTACACCTGGTCTCACGTATGATCTGCACAATACATTTTGTTAGAGAATAGGTATATTTGTGCAATGATTCTTTGTAGCGTTCGTAATCAGGGGTGGGTATAGGTAGAGAGGGTGATTAGCCCGATCTCCACCACCCGGGTTACCGCTCACGTTAGTTCATGGAATCAGTCCCATGATCCAGGAGGCACGACGAGGACGTGTGAGTCGGATTTTACCTCCTATCCCTGTGGTGCCCCTTCCAGCCAAACTAGTTGGTGAAGCCTAGTAGGCCCTTCTGGAGAAGAGGCTACATCGAAGCACGGCACAACTACTGGGGCGCAATAGTTTTTTTTTGTCTTTGGTTTTACTTCCTGTCCGGTGATTGCTGACCATCTGTGTACTACATAGCAGTGATTGATTATACCTTTCTTAGTCGGTAAAGTTTTGTTGCAGCCTAGGGATGGACATTTATTTTGATCCTTGTTGGAGTCTATTTTATTAACTTTGGTTTTTGGTTCAGCTTTAGCTAGGTTACATTGTGGGTGGCATGACTGCATGTGTCTAATTAACCAACCCAACGTCTTATACGTCTTATTACAGTCAGATAGGGGACAGCTATATAGGGACTCACTGTTAGTTTTATTTTGGTGATCATTTCTAAGGTGTCTGTTCATTTCTTTAATTGTAGCAAACATTCTGTTACAGTTTGCATTTTGACATACATGCTTCATTTGGCGTTTTCCTATAATTTTGGGGAAATACTCTTGGTGAGTATTTATTTTAACCTTGTTGGGTTGGTTTATCCAGTTGCTAGGAAGGCGTTCGCCCATTTCCTTAATGTCTTGAAGCAGTTGTCTTAGCCAGTTTCTAGTATGAGCCTTCCTATTGTTGCACTGGTTTTCAAAGTTGCTATTTAAAGACCTCACCATTAGGTTATTTGGTCTTTTATGTGCCACATACCACAAGTTTAGTCTGTTTTGCATGATTTTATTGGCTAAGTTTGGTAAGTTTATTTTATGTCTAAGTTGTTCAACAGTAAGTTGTTTTCTATCATTTATACCTAAAATTATACGTCTTACTGTATTTAACACCGCTTCTAGTCTAGACCAATCCTGTTTTCTTAGTACTATGGATTCTAGACCGTATGTAAGAATGGGGATTATTGAAGAATCCACCAGCTTCATTTTGGTATCAAGGCTAAGTTCTTTAGATTTTAGTATTGGTTTAATTTTAATTATTGCATTTTTTGCCTTTTCTATGTTGTAGGTGATAGCACTATCCGGAGTTCCTTTGTTATTTATGGTTGAACCAAGATAGTGGAAGGATTCTACTTCTTCTATATCCTTGTTGCCTATTTTGACATTTGCTGAGTTACCTTTCTTATTTATTATCATGTATTTAGTCTTGGAGATTGATATCTCCATACCAATACTGGTTAAGTATTGCTGTAGGTGGTTTAGGGCTTTGGTAGCCTCTTCCGTTGTATTAGTGATTAAGCATAAGTCATCAGCATATTCTAGATGCTTAATTGTCCAAGTTTTATTATGCTGATCCCTTAGGGTGACTCCTTTTAAAGTTTTATCTATTGTATGTTCCAATATGTTTTGGAATACTAAGTTAAAGATGGCCGGACCTTCTTTACTTCCCTGTCTAACTCCCCTATGCATTGTGAAATTTAGTTCAGTATTTCTTAGATGTCCCTTAGGATTGTCTAATAGTTTAATTATACAGGAATTTATATTGTTTGATGGGCATATTTTAGCTAAGGTGTCTATTATTAATTGTTTAGGAATGGTATCGAAGGCTTTAGTTAAGTCAACGAAGGTTAGGACTATAGTGCAGTTTGTGTCTATTGAGGTTTGAATTAGGTGTCTTAACGTTGTGATCGCGTGAATTGTAGATAAGTTTTTTCTAAATCCGAATTGAGTTATTGGAAGGTAATTATCTGTTTGTTGAACAAGCCTATTGCAGACTATGCCTGCAAATAGCTTACCTATTGTGTCCAGTAAGAAAATACTTCTGTAGTTATTAGGGTCTGATCTTAGTCCTTTATTTTTGTATATGCTTATCACCTCTGCATCTAGCCAGTGGTCTGGCATAGTGCATGGGTTTTTCCATATCTTGTTCATTATATTGAGTAGCATGTCAATTAGTTTATAACCTCCTTGCTTTATCATTTCGGTTGTTATGCCGTTGCTACCAGGGGTAGTTTGATTTTTCATATTTTTTAAGCCAATTTTTATTTCATCTAGTGTTAGTTCAGGAACTTCGGTAGTTTTTAAAGGGACTTGGGTATTATTTAGGTTTAATTTAGCATTAAATAGGTTTTGATAGTGACATTGAAGATCACTATCTTTAACTTGATTTGTTCTCTTAGCCTTGTATGAGTGGTTCCAACTGCAACCCAAACATCAACGACTACCGGAACACCGGTGTCGGCTTCGTCGTTAGTAACCACTCAATGGTTACCGCCACTGACTTTAAAGAAATAGACGGTAGGATAGCCACCATTAAAATACGTAGTTTAGCCACTAGCCAAACTATTAACCTTATTGGCTGCTATGCCCCAACTGAGTCTTCTAGTGAAGATATCAGTAAAGACAAATTCTATCTTAAACTCAAAAATACAATAAAACAACTCAAATCAAATAAACTTCCAATACTAGTTCTAGGCGACTTCAACTGTAGGCTGGGCCAGGACCTTCACACTTACTACCCTAATATCGTAGGAAAAGCAAACAATCTTGAGCCGGAAACGTCTGCGAATGGCATAAGACTAATAAACTTATGCGAAACATTGAGTCTGCGAGTAATGAACACGTTCATTACTAAACCAGCTCACAAGACTCACACATGGGTACATCCAAAAACCCAAACCGGACATATAATAGACCTAGTACTAACAGAAAATAACTCTAGAATAATGGTTAGTGACATTCACAATAGTCGCTCAATGGAAGCGAATACCGATCATTACATGGTCACAACCATACTTAAACTAAAATATCTAAATTATAATAAGATTCCTAACACTAATAGCAAACGTAAACAAAGGCAACGTAAGGCTATACACGCCTTGAATCCAGAATACCCAAATATACTAAATAACTTACTCCAAAATAACCATAATCTCAACCAAATCGAAAAGGCGATGATACAAGCGGCTCATAAAGCTGCAATCCCTTATAAGTCGGCCACCAAGAGATGGCAACACAACATAGGTAATCTCTTAAAGGAAGAGATTAAACATAGAAAACAACTAAGACTAAACTGGCTAAACAATCCTACAACCACTAATAAAAATCTATATATGCAGGCTAGTAAAATAGTTAAAAACAAGGTTAAATTAGCCAAAGACCAATATATCAAAGACAGAATAAGTGAGATGAACTCATACTTTAAGAAACATGACTTACACTTAGCATATAAAATGCTAGATGATATATTGGCTACTATACGGAACCACTCATACAAGGCTAAGAGAACAAATCAAGTTAAAGATAGTGATCTTCAATATCACTATCAAAACCTATTTAATGCTAAATTAAACCTAAATAATACCCAAGTCCCTTTAAAAACTACCGAAGTTCCTGAACTAACACTAGATGAAATAAAACTTGGCTTAAAAAATATGAAAAATCAAACTACCCCTGGTAGCAACGGCATAACAACCGAAATGATAAAGCAAGGAGGTTATAAACTAATTGACATGCTACTCAATATAATGAACAAGATATGGAAAAACCCATGCACTATGCCAGACCACTGGCTAGATGCAGAGGTGATAAGCATATACAAAAATAAAGGACTAAGATCAGACCCTAATAACTACAGAAGTATTTTCTTACTGGACACAATAGGTAAGCTATTTGCAGGCATAGTCTGCAATAGGCTTGTTCAACAAACAGATAATTACCTTCCAATAACTCAATTCGGATTTAGAAAAAACTTATCTACAATTCACGCAATCACAACGTTAAGACACCTAATTCAAACCTCAATAGACACAAACTGCACTATAGTCCTAACCTTCGTTGACTTAACTAAAGCCTTCGATACCATTCCTAAACAATTAATAATAGACACCTTAGCTAAAATATGCCCATCAAACAATATAAATTCCTGTATAACTAAACTATTAGACAATCCTAAGGGACATCTAAGAAATACTGAACTAAATTTCACAATGCATAGGGGAGTTAGACAGGGTAGTAAAGAAGGTCCGGCCATCTTTAACCTAGTATTCCAAAACATATTGGAACATACAATAGATAAAACTTTAAAAGGAGTCACCCTAAGGGATCAGCATAATAAAACTTGGACAATTAAGCATCTAGAATATGCTGATGACTTATGCTTAATCACTAATACAACGGAAGAGGCTACCAAAGCCCTAAACCACCTACAGCAATACTTAACCAGTATTGGTATGGAGATATCAATCTCCAAGACTAAATACATGATAATAAATAAGAAAGGTAACTCAGCAAATGTCAAAATAGGCAACAAGGATATAGAAGAAGTAGAATCCTTCCACTATCTTGGTTCAACCATAAATAACAAAGGAACTCCGGATAGTGCTATCACCTACAACATAGAAAAGGCAAAAAATGCAATAATTAAAATTAAACCAATACTAAAATCTAAAGAACTTAGCCTTGATACCAAAATGAAGCTGGTGGATTCTTCAATAATCCCCATTCTTACATACGGTCTAGAATCCATAGTACTAAGAAAACAGGATTGGTCTAGACTAGAAGCGGTGTTAAATACAGTAAGACGTATAATTTTAGGTATAAATGATAGAAAACAACTTACTGTTGAACAACTTAGACATAAAATAAACTTACCAAACTTAGCCAATAAAATCATGCAAAACAGACTAAACTTGTGGTATGTGGCACATAAAAGACCAAATAACCTAATGGTGAGGTCTTTAAATAGCAACTTTGAAAACCAGTGCAACAATAGGAAGGCTCATACTAGAAACTGGCTAAGACAACTGCTTCAAGACATTAAGGAAATGGGCGAACGCCTTCCTAGCAACTGGATAAACCAACCCAACAAGGTTAAAATAAATACTCACCAAGAGTATTTCCCCAAAATTATAGGAAAACGCCAAATGAAGCATGTATGTCAAAATGCAAACTGTAACAGAATGTTTGCTACAATTAAAGAAATGAACAGACACCTTAGAAATGATCACCAAAATAAAACTAACAGTGAGTCCCTATATAGCTGTCCCCTATCTGACTGTAATAAGACGTATAAGACGTTGGGTTGGTTAATTAGACACATGCAATCATGCCACCCACAATGTAACCTAGCTAAAGCTGAACCAAAAAACAAAGTTAATAAAATAGACTCCAAAAACGATCAAAATAAATGTCCATACCCAGGCTGCAACAAAACTTTACCAACTAAAAAAGGCATAATCAATCACTGCTATGTAGTACACAGATGGTCAGCAATCACCGGACAGGAAGTAAAACCAAAGACGAAAAACAATGCAAAAACAACTATTGCGCCCCGGTAGTTGTGCCGTGCTTCGATGTAGCCTCTTCTCCAGAAGGGCCTACTAGGCTTCACCAACTAGTTTGGCTGGAAGGGGCACCACAGGGATGGGAGGTAAAATCCGACTCACACGTCCTCGTCGTGCCTCCTGGATCATGGGACTGTTTCCATGAACTAACGTGAGCGGTAACCCGGGTGGTGGAGATCGGACTAATCACCCACTCTACCTATACCCACAATCTGATTACCGAGTGCTACAAGGAATCATTATATAGCTATTGAGAGTGCAAAAATAGAGAGAAACAAAAAGAGAGAAAAATAATAAAAAAGATTGCTAAAATAAAGAGAGAAAAAGAGAGAAAGAAAAAAAAAAAAAAAAAAAGTCTGCCCAAACAAAAACAAAAAGAAAATGACAAAAAAATGGGTACGTGTGAAAGTTATGTAATGGTTCCGCGTGGCATGCAAAAACAACTATCACACCCCGGTAGTTGTGCCGTGCAGTGGCACTCATCCCAGAAGGGCCAATAGGCTTCACCAACTAGTTTGGCTGGAAGGGGCACCACAGGGATGGGAGGTAAAATCCGACTCACACGTCCTCGTCGTGCCTCCTGGATCATGGGACTGTTTCCATGAACTAACGTGAGCGGTAACCCGGGTGGTGGAGATCGGACTAATCACCCTCTCTACCTATACCCACAAAATGATTACCGAGTGCTACAAGGAATCATTATATAGCTATTGAGAGTGCAAAACGAGAGAGAAACAAAAAGAGAGAGAAATAATAATAAAAAGATTGCAAAAATAAAGAGAGAAAAAGAGAGAAAGGAAAAAAAAGTCTGCCGAAACAAAAGGAAAAAGAAAATGACAAAAAAATGTGTACGTGTGAGTGTTATGTAATGGTTCCGCGTGGCATGCAAAATCAACTATCTCACCCCGGTAGTTGTGCCGTGCAGTGGCACTCATCCCAGAAGGGCCAATAGGCTTCACCAACTAGTTTGGCTGGAAGGGGCACCACAGGGATGGGAGGTAAAATCCGACTCACACGTCCTCGTCGTGCCTCCTGGATCATGGGACTGTTTCCATGATCTAACGTGAGCGGTAACCCGGGTGGTGGAGATCGGACTAATCACCCTCTCTACCTATACCCACCCCTGATTACGAAAGCTACAAAGAATCATTGCACAAATATACCTGGAATAAAAAAAGACAAAAAAAATGCCCAAAATTACCAAAAACTTAAAATTGGTTTATGGAATGTCCGGGGTTGCTCACAAGAAAGCAAACTCCAAGAGATAGCAGAGCAAATAGCTGAACGCAAGTACCACATAGCAGTGATCACGTAAACTAGAATGACTTCTAAAATTATTGATATGGATAACAACGGCCTAAGCTTTTATAACTCTAACCCAGACATGAATGACTACCGAACTAATGGTGTTGGTTTTCTGGTAAATGACCAATCTATGATAACTGCCTCTATATGCAAGCTAGTAAAATAGTGAATAATAAGATTAAACTAGCTAAAGACCAGTATATCAAAGATAAAATAAATGAGATGAACACATACTTTGAAAAACATGACCTGCACTTAGCATACAAAATGGTAGATGATATACTGGCTACTATACGAAACCACTCATACAAAGCTAAAAGAGCTAATCAAATTAAAGATAGTGATCTTCAATATCACTACCAAAACCTATTCAATGCTAAACTAAACCAAGATAATATCCAATTGCCGGTAAAAACCACCAACGACTCTGAACTTACTATAAATGAAATAAATCAAAGTTTGAAAAAAATGAAAAATCAAACTACGCCTGGCAGTAATGGCGTAACTAGCGAAATGATAAAGCAAGGTGGTAATAAGCTAAATAACATACTACTGAAAATAATGAATCAGATATGGAAAAATCCATGCACTATGCCAGACCACTGGATAGATGCAGATGTAATAAGTATATATAAAAATAAAGGTTTAAGATCCGACCCAAACAACTATAGAAGTATCTTCTTACTAGATATGATAGGAAAGCTATTTGCAGGCATAGTCTGCAATAGACTTGTCCAACTAACAGATAAATATCTCCCAATAACCCAATTTGGTTTTAGAAAAAATCTGTCCACAGTCCAAGCAATAACGACCTTAAGACATATAATTCAATCCTCTATAGACACAAATAGAACTATAGTCCTCACCTTTGTGGACTTAACTAAAGCGTTTGATACGATACCCAAACAAATAATCCTAAATACTCTAAATAAACTATGCCCTTCAAAAAATATAAACTCCTGTATAACCAAACTATTAGATGACCCCAAGGGTTATCTAAAAACTTCAGAACTAAACTTCACGATGAAAAGGGGAGTGAGACAGGGTAGTAAAGAAGGTCCGGCTATCTTTAACTTAGTCTTTCAAAAAATATTAGAACAAACGATAGACAAAACCCTAAAAGAGTGACTCTTAAAGACCAATATAACAAGATTTGGACAGTTAAACATTTAGAATATGCAGACGATTTATGCTTAATCACTAACACAACGGAGGAGGCTACCAAAGCCTTAAACCACCTACAACAATACTTAACCAGTATTGGTATGGAGATATCAATCTCCAAGATTAAATATATGATAATAAATAAAAAAGCTATCACATCAAATGTCAAAATAAACAACAAGGATATAGAAGAAGTAGAATCCTTCCACTATCTTGGTTCTACCATAAATAACAAAGGTACTCCGGATAGTGCTGTCACCTATAATATAGAAAAAGCAAAAAATGCAATAATTAAAATTAAACCATTACTTAAATCTAAAGAACTCAACCTTGATACCAAAGCCAAGATGGTGGATTCTTCAATAATCCCCATTCTCACATATGGTCTAGAATCAACAGTACTAAGAAAGCAAGATTGGTCTAGACTAGAAGCGGTGTTAAATACAGTAAGACGGATAATTCTAAATATAAACGATAGAAAACAATATACTGTTGAGCAACTTAAACTTAAAATAAACTTACCAAATTTAGCCAGTAAATTCATGCAAAACAGACTAAACTCGTGGTATGTAGCGCATAAAAGACCAAATAACCTAATGGTGAGGTCTTTGTATAGTAACTCTGAAAATCAGTGCAACAATAGGAATGCCCATACTAAAAACTGGTTAAGACAACTATTTCAAGACATTAAAGAAATGGGTGAGCGCCTTCCTAGCAACTGGATAAACCAACCCAACAAGGTTAAAATAAACGAATATCAAGAGCACTTTCCAAAAATAATAGGGAAACGTCAGCTGAACCATGTATGCCAAAATGCAAACTGTAAAAGAATGTTTGCTACAATTAAAGAAATGAACAGACACCTTAGAAATGATCACCAAAATAAAACTAACAGTGAGTCCCTATATAGCTGTCCCCTATCTGACTGTAATAAGACGTATAAGACGTTGGGTTGGTTAAATAGACACATGCAGTCATGCCAACCAAAATATAATCTAACTGAAGCTAAACGCCAAACCAAAGTTAATAAAATAGACTCCAAAAACGATCAAAATAAATGTCCATACCCAGGCTGCAACAAAACTTTACCAACTAAAAAAGGCATAATCAATCACTGCTATGTAGTACATAGGTGGTCAGCAATTACCGGACAGGAAGTAAAACCAAAGACAAAAAACAATGCAAAAACAACTATTGCGCCCCGGTAGTTGTGCCGTGCTTCGATGTAGCCTCTTCTCCAGAAGGGCCTACTAGGCTTCACCAACTAGTTTGGCTGGAAGGGGCACCACAGGGATAACTGGCTTGTGGCGGCCAAGCGTTCATAGCGACGTCGCTTTTTGATCCTTCGATGTCGGCTCTTCCTATCATTGTGAAGCAGAATTCACCAAGCGTTGGATTGTTCACCCACTAATAGGGAACGTGAGCTGGGTTTAGACCGTCGTGAGACAGGTTAGTTTTACCCTACTAATGAGTACATCAGTGAAGTACAATCTGGCCGTTGCTATGGTAATCCTGTTTAGTACGAGAGGAACCGCAGGTTCAGATAATTGGTATATGTGCCTGGTCGAAAGGCCAATGGTGCGAAGCTACCATCTGAGGGATTAAGACTGAACGCCTCTAAGTCTGAATCCCGTCCAAATTTGCAACGGTACATTCTGTATCCGACACGTGGCATGCAACATTCAACCACTGAAGCCTAGGGAGTTAACCTCTAAGCCAGGGTACATACAGTCCAGCACGAAGCCAGGTGCATGCAAAATTCAACCACTGAAGCCTAGGGAGTTAACCTCTAAGCCAGGGTACATACAGTCCAGCACAAAGCCAGGTGCATGCAGAAATTCAACCACTGAAGCCTAGGGAATCAACCTCTAAGCCAGGGTACATACAGTCTAGCACGAAGCCAGGTGTATGCATGAGGATTTGCTACTATCGGGAACCACAAGCCCATGAACCATTCATATAGGCATCGTAGCATATCAATGATCCGATAATCGTCTGTTCGCAGATCCATGATATGGTCTCTTTTGCTAAACCTATTCGGGCCAGTCCCCTATCCGACCTTTCGTCGAGCACACCTCCCATCGTTAAAACCACCGGTAAATGATTCGCAGGACCTACTCGTAGTCCGAACGCTTGTCTAAATTGCCTATTAAGCGCGATCGTTTTGTATTTCCGTATTTTCGCATTCCAGGATGCGCGCAGTCTGCTATCGCTGCAGATTATGACGTCAAGGACGAATATTGCCCCCCTTCTGCATGCCAGCAAATCCGGCTTCACATAACTATCCCCGCACGGTGTGTACGATTCACGCAACACCGAAAAACCTGCCCGCCTCAGCGAGCCTTCCAGTTTCGAGACTACTCTATTATGTCGAGCGATCCGCAATCGCCGAATGACTTTGCATTCCTGAAGGATATGCGTCAGGGATTCAACCCTCCGACAGCCCCCTTTGCACTGTAAGTTTATGTTTCCTCTACCGCCCCTTGATTCGCGCGCTTTTGTCTTCAGGGTATGACACCTAAGTTGTAGCGATTTTTGGTACATCCAGGGATACATTCCTTTCGGGGACGTAACCCATATATGCGACGATGTGCTCTGGCTGGAGACTTTAGGGCCGCTACCGTCTAGAGTGCTATAGAGGCGCGTTTTCCATGAGTCATATACGTCGTCCGACGAGTTTATCATCCACCCGCCAAGAGACACACCGCCTAAGGACTTGCCCTCAATAGCTTTGTAGGCCGCCGATATTCGGACGGCTTCCATCATTTCGCAAACCCGTGTGCTACACGAAACGAATCGGCGGGAACGCCGAAGAATTGCCAGCGGATATAGGGGTTCG